ACACAATTAAAATAGGAACATATAATATATCACATGTATTATTAGATTGAACTCTCCTCCACACACATCTAAATCCAACTTGTTACATCTCATTTCAATTTTTATTTATATTTTATTTTCCCCAAATTTTCAAGTAGTATTTTTCGTAAAATTAAAGTATAAAATATCCTTAAGATTATTGTAAATTCTTACGAAAAATAAATTCATCACTAACGCTTACCGAATTCACCAAAGTTTGTACTTCACCACGAACTCTTGTAGGAAATTCTCATAGCTTGAGACGTGTCGAAAGACACTGTCCTTGAGGATATTTCACCATTTATTGGTCTATATCCTACGATTCAACAAGCTCTTCTAGTATAAAACTAGGAGCCAAAACTAACAAAGATTCTTTAAATAAAACCCAGCTTAATAGAATATGAAAACAGAAAGGAAGAAGAAATTTCTCTTACTATCAATCTACACCCAAATAAGATTAGAAATATATATATAATGAAAACAAATTATCCTTTCACGTGAAAAACATTGTGGAAAAATGAGCAATTTATTTTGATTAAACAAACTGTCTTGTCATTATTTACTCATTCAAGAATGATTAATAAGATGGAGACAAACGTATATTTGGATTAGGAGTAATGGCCAATCAAAGGCTATTTATGGAGGGAAAATATTTAGGACATAAATATATATTCTCTTCAAAATATAATAGGATATAAAATGATTCCATTCGAGATATATAAAATAATATTTTTCCAATACAAACCATTAGTAGGATTATACGGTCAGTCCAAGATATGAGTGTAACCAATTTACTACATTAGAATAACACAAATCAATACATAGAGCTACAATCACTTTTGAAGCCCTATGGGTTCCTTATTGTCTTGGCTACAAGAAACCTTTCACCAAGCTCGTGCACTTAACCCCACTCATTATCAGATGGCCTAGAGTGCACCTAGTCCATATTTCTTCCGAGGTTGACCTAGCCTAAAATTCTTGAGACACTATCCGTAACTTTCAACCCAAATTCTTTCACAATTAACCTATTCGTAATGATCGAGATGGATCATTTCAGTGTTATTTCACTTAACTAATTCGGGGCAGCCAAGTGGGTCGGAATATACGCTAAATGGTAGAGTTCATCGCTACTCAGACTTTCCAACTTTAATTTTTCTTTCTTTTCCTGTTACATTTTACTACACCAATGACCATCACTGAATCACATTGACGATACGCCGACTTCTCCCTGATATTTCCAAACTGAGATGAACTTGAGGGTTAAGAACTGTAATTTTTCGCGATGTACCGAGTCAACATAGGTGACACTCACTGTCGACTTTGCATATTTCCTTCTGTTTTTTGGCTGCTTTTGATCTCTTTTGTATCCAGATTTAAGGTCTCATAATTGAAATACAAATACATTTGATCAGAATAAGTTGTAAATAGACATTGAGAACATTACTTTTGGTATACTAAAATCCTAAAATGAGCTCAAAATTCTCTACTCTTTAGATATCTTCCATATATTTTTAAATACTTTTCATTTTTGACGACACTTAATTTTTCGCTATACGTTTTACTTATCACTCCATTCCAATGTATCCCTTAAGTTCACAAAATTTTCATGTCTGAGTCATTTGTGTAATGCTAAGAGTATACGTGAGTGACTTTTGAAACAAGGTATATATTAGCTATAAATCGTAAAGTTGAGGGTTATATCCGATCCTTTTTCCTTTAATTTTTAGTGTGAAAATATGAGAAATAAAAATGAAGAAACGTGAATGGAAAAAGAACAAAATAATTCAAGATTTTGCTTTTGAGGCTACATTGTAAGTTATTTTATTTGAAAAAAAGGGTGGGGGAGGGGGTCTATGATAAATTTTATAAGAAAATGAGTGTAGAAATAAATTTGATCATCATCATCATATCATATATTTCTATAAAAGAGAACCCTAGGCCCGCCACCACAAGCAATAATTTCCTTTATATAAAAGAGAACCCTAGGTCTGCCTACGTGGCGCCACTACAAGCAATAATTTTCATTTAAATTTATTTATTTTCAAAATTAGCCTTCATATTTGATGAAAAGACGTGACATTTATGGAAAGTTACAACTTTCATGAAGAGTTGCGACTTGTATCAAAAGTTGTGACTTTTATGAAAGGGTGTGGCTTTAATGAAAAATTGTGACTTTATGAAAAGTTTGTGACTTTTATTAAAGGTTGTTAACTTTTCGAGAGATTGAAACTTTTTCAAATAGTTGTAACGTTTCTGATAATGCACAATAAACATTTGTTCACAGTATACTTTGTTGTCAATAAATAGAAAGATTGCCTCTCACTTTAAAACAACAAAAATTTCTTATCTTTTTCTTCTACTTCCGCGAAATTAATTTTGTACTTTGATCCATTTGAATGACTTACTAATACCACTAGTTGGTGAATAAAATTATTTCATCCTGAGAGGATATAATTCTTTAAATCTCTTGTATTGGAGGAGAATAGTTTTCTTAAGGTGACATTGTGTATTCAGTGGACTCGATTTTTTTCTTTATATTTTATTCTATTTATACATATCCTGGTATGTTTTTTACACTCTTTAGTTTATTTTTATGATATTAATTGTTGTTTTTGAGTACCTATTTAAAACTTTTTTTTATGTTTATGCAAAGTTATTTTCTCCGGTTATATTGAAAATATACATATATAGTACGTATATTTATTGTACAAAAAATAAGTATTGTAAAAGTACTATATATAAGTTTACATATTATCTTTTCGTACATAAATATGAAATTTCTAACTTATCAATTGAAGAAATTCATTATGCATGTTCAAAAGATATACTTGTTTTCATGTGTAAGCATAATTTCTTTTTTGAATATGTTAACAAAATTTTGAATTCTCTTTGGACATATATCACAATTGTATAATCTGTACAACTTAAATGTTTCTTTTCATCACGAAACGCTTTTGTATATATATTCATATTTTCTTCTTTATTTTCCTTTGAATGTTCATTAAGGAAACAATTATTTATTATATCGTGAATAAATCATTCATTAGAGGTTCTTGACTTATGTGATAATGACAAAGAATCAAATTCATGTTGGAATATTGCTAATATTTTTTTAAGAGTCAATTTTTCTATTATTTTTAATGTATGGATATTAGTAAACAATTATTTGCAAGTTCAATGCAATTATTATTTATGACCGCGCGAACCGTCAAAAAATTACCTAGTTAAGATAGTAAAATTTAAATATTCATTAAATTAAAGAACGTAGAAAAAAAAACTCATAGTTGAGAAAGATCAAGTGTACCTCTTAACTTTGCGAACAAATCAAATATACCTATATATATTCTTGTTTTTAATAATATATCAAAAAAATAAAATAAATTTAAATATTTTTTTCACTCCCATTAGACAAATATGATATATTTGAGCTATTTATGTAATAATAGTAGTATATACGAGTCACTTTAGTAACAAATGATATATCAACTCTAAATTTTGAATTTGAGAGGTATATTCCATGTCATTTTTCCTTAATTCTTTAGGGGACAAGTCTTGTCTATCCTCTTTTATTGAGTTTGTTAGATATTAGATTAAATATTTAAAAAATGGTTTAAAAATTGTAATTTTACTATTAGAAAAATAATTATGTGATTTGAAGGAAAAAATTGTTCTCAAATGTCCATTTAAGGAATTAACTTGCAATTTAAATATAAAATTTATAAATTACTTACCATATCTACTTATATCAAACCAAATCTTTTAAGAGAGAAAATCAAAAAAAAATTCAAATTCCTATCTTATCTTCACTCTTCACGCTTTTTGTCTGTTTGAAAGAATTGATGTAATTATAAGGATAGTAAATATCAACATAATAATTATACAACCTTGTAATGACATCGACTTGCTTATTTGCCACAGTGGAATTAAACTATAATTACTCATGTGTTGTTTGGATGTACAAATGCAACCATAAAGTTATATTAAATTTGAAAATTAAAAATTAATTATTTAAAATTCAGATTAGAAAAATAAGAAACTTAATAAATGTTATATATATATATATATATATATATATATATATATATATATATATATATATATAGAAATGCATGTTAGACAAAAAGATTAATATTATGTCATAAAATGTTAAAATATGTGACAAAAAGATAATATATCAAGTCTATGAAAAAAAATAACTTGCAATGTGAAGTTTCAAATCAATACTACTAAAACAAATGAAACTAAAAATATAACATAAGTTCTAGACTCAAAAAAAAATTTAATGTATATTTTATATGTTAAATTTCAAAATGACATTCATGCATATGATTGAAAAGAATAGGAAAACATAAGTCTATAATCTTACTCTGAATTCTAATTTAATTTTAAAATACTAGCAAAATTATGTTAATGAAATAAATGAATATGTTTAAAAATAGAGAATGCAAAATAATTGCATAGAATCACATGAAGTAAAGGTTGAGAATGAGAAAGGAAAAAAATATAAATAATATACAATAAAAAACAAACTTTTAGAAAATTTTAGAATAATGAACAATAGAAAAAGAATTTATAATAATAGAAAATAAATTAAAATGCAAAAATAAAAATAAAAGGAAGAATTAAATAAAAATTATATTATAATTACACCATGTAATTTTCAACAATTCACATCTCAGATAATATAATTATACCAAATTGAATTATCATGGTGTCTTTCCAAACAAACCCTTAGTATTCTTTAGAGTCCCCCACCCCCCCCCCCCCCACTCTTTTTTTTATATCAGATTCTATGTATCTTTCATATGTACAATCAACTACTATATAAATAGACCATTATATTTGATTTTCTCTATCACTACTCATCAATCAAAAGGTGTGTTAAAAAAATTCTGTTTTATTTTTTTTCTTTTTGTTCTTTTTTAGTTGTTTCTTATATGAATTAATTGTTTACATAATAAATCAAAAAGATTAACACTTAGTTTTTGTGTTTCTTTTGTTATTTTGTTGTATCAAACAGAAAATTATCCAAAAATATGACAGATTCTGGGGAAGAACCGGCTGGAGAATCATCAAATTCGCAAAAAAGATCGGAAAGTCATGGACAATACCACAAACATTCTATGGAACAAATTCAAATACTTGATGCGTAAGATCAACTTTTTTAAAAAAAAATTAATTTGATCCTTCGAATATATCTGTTCATTTTTTTTGTTTGTTCAAAGAGATGATGTATTTTCTTAAACTGCATCAGTGGTAAAATTAAATTATCAGTAGTAAAATTAAATTTCATTAGTGATAGAATATTTGATTTTCTTTTTGTATGTATTTTTTGTGCATCAATTGATATTTTTTTGTATTGATTTTTCTTTCGGTTTTATTCTTGTTCCCCACATGTCCACTATATTAAATACAAGATTTGTACTTTTGATTTCACATTTCCTGTTTTCTTTTGTTGAATTGCTAAAACGGTTTTGATATAATTTATCATGATGATTAATCTGTTATATATACATCATTATAAATGAACTTGTTTGTTCTTTATGAGTTTAGCATAAGAAGATGAGTTCGTTAAAGTTCAATGTCTTTCCAATTTTTTGCACCAAAAACACAAACAATCTATTTCCCATCATGTTTGATACCCCTTTTGAGGTATGACTAATTTAACTTTGTGTCGATAAATTTCATTTTAGGGCCCAACTAATCTTAGATCACATAGAAAATCTATCTTTTGGGACAGACTAATCTAGATTTGCATTGAAAAATCACACTTTAGGATCTGCTTAGTTCATATTTGCATCACAAAGTCTCACTTGGGGGGGGGGGGGGCTAAACCCCTCCCAATCAATGGTGACAACTCTTGTCCCATGACTCAACACGAGGCTTCTAGTTAAGGATAAAAGAGTACTACTCCTCAATCATTAGTGAGTATCTGGTAGTTGATCTAGGGCCCGACAAATTCAAATTCAAGTGAGGAATCAAGTCCCATTTTATGGTTAAACGTTCCTTAAAAAAGTTTTAGTTCCAATGCTCGAACTTAAGACCTAATTAATGATGGAGAAATACTTGATAATCCACCATGTATTTATGACATTTTTTTGTTATTTTCTTTTTTTGGTTTATTTTATAAAAAAAAATGATCAATAATATTTTCTCTTCATGAATTTTTGAATGAAGATTCTTCAAGAAATGCCCGCATCCAGATGAGGATCAACAAAAACAATTGGGTAGCGAAGCAGGGCTTGACCATAAGCAGGTCAAGTTTTGGTTCCAAAACAGAAGGGCTCAAGCAAAGGTAATTTTGATTATTTAATTCTTTTATATATTGTCAATTGTACTTAATTGATTGGATATTATTGTTGTTGTTGTTGTTTACACACTACAACAAATTAATATATTTTTTTCATTAAAATTTTCAAAAATCTAGAAAAAGTAATGACAAAAGTTGAAATAATTTAATGAAAGTAGTGATCTATTGGTAAATTGTTTCTCTATATTTGGTTAAGTTGTTAGGATGTGTGAATAAATAAGATAATTTATTCCTCGTTATAATCAAGTTATTTACTTCCACTATCACCAACCCCCCGGGCCGCGTACAATAAATTCCATTCTTGATGATTTCACTTTTCAATTTTTATATAGTTTTCCTAAATCACTAATTTGATTTTCCATGTTGAATAGATCAATAAATTTGAAAGTATGTTCTCTAATTAATATATGAACTTTATTAAATAAATTTCTTTTCATTTAAATTATTTTCATTATCTAACATCTAAGTCAATTAAGTTGTTGCTTAATAAAATCAATAATACAAGCATTTTAAATAATTCAAAGTGCATGAACTCCCTAGCAAGTTCAATAATTAGCAAGGAATTATAAAATGGACACAAAATTGAATCCCTTCTAGGTTTTGAGAATTTAAATTCAGAAAAATTTGGTTTTGCAACTCAAAACTAATGATTTCCTTTCCAAGATTATTTGATAATGGACCAATTGAATGAAGTCCAGGCTAGTCAAAATAATTTGTATAAATAAATGAGCGGATGAATAAATTATTTGGGTTGGGTTGGGCTTAAAATGGACCACAACCCACTTTTTAAACTTCTATCAAAAAGTAATTTTTCTCGTTAGTTGTTCAATTACCAAACAATGTTATTTTCTTAACATGACTATATTTATCACATCTACAATAAGAGTGTGGTCTTTGGTAGGAAATTTCATAGAGCTAGCGAAGATTCTCAAAAAGAGAAGGATAACTTGTATCCAGGAAACCAAATGAGAAGGGTAGAAGGCATGTGATATGGATAAGTATAAGTTGTGTTACTCGAAAAGTATAACGATTAGGAATAAAGTACGCATCTTAGCGGATTGTGAGCTTAGGGAGGAAGTGATTGAGGTAAGGATGATCAATGATAGGATGATGATGATTAAGTTAGTAATTGGAGATTCCAGTTTGAACATTATTGGTGCTTACGCTCTGCAAATTGTCTTGGACAAGGAGGACTAGAAGTCTTTTTGGGAGGATTTGGACGAGGTGGGTGGAGGTGTTTCAAATAGAAAGAAGTTATTCATAGAAGGAGATTTCAATGGTCACATCGAGTCTACTCCAATGGGGTGTAGTGATTAGTATGGAGGTTTCAGTTTCAGGGACAAGAATGCGGAGGAGTCTCACTTATGAATTTTTCAATAGCTTTTGGGTTGGTGGTAGTCAATTCAAGTTTCTTGAAGGAGGAGGAGAACTTGGTCACCTTCCATAGCACGGTAGATAAAACTCATAGAGACTATTTGCTTCTTAGGAAGGAACATAAAGTTCTTCATAAAGACTGTTGGTTATCCCGAGTGAGAATTTAACGACCTAACACTAACTCCATCTGGTGGATTTCTTATTGTAAGGGAAAGGAAGAAGAGGATACTAGGTAACAAACCGAGGATAAAATGGTGAAGCTTGAATATGATCAGTACTCTTGATATCATAGAGAAGTTTTTAGTTGTGGGAACTATGGGTAGTAGTAGTGATTCAGATAATATGTGGTTCAGAACTTCTAGATAAATTTAGGCAAGTTGAGTAAACTAAATTTTCATGGATTAATTTTTTCACCTATGTAAAAATTCTTGAAAATATATTTCTTATACGAGAAAGAATGTGTATGTGGTTCAAATTAGAATGGAATTTTGAACTTTTAAGCAAAGATGAATGGAAAAAATATTTTTCAAGAATTATAAAAAGGCTTAGTACCATTTTTTGTCCATTCAATTATTATAATATTCTAATTCTGATACAAGTAATATCTTGCTCAATACGTAAATCTTCAATTTATTGGAATGTGAACTATTGATCCTTTATTTGTGAAGAATGAAAGTTTAACATAATAATTATTTGTACAATTATTTAGTTACCTATATGTTATATTAAGTTTGTCTTGTTATTCGATATGTGATTAATTTTTGTTATATAGATTTCATCAGACTAAAATTGAGACATCCATTAACAATGCTCTTCGAAAATAAAAAAAAATTCTTTGTGAATATAAGGCAATGAAAGAGGCAATGAAGAATATTATGTGTCCAAAATGTGGTGGACTTCCTATTGGAAAAGAAGAAAGAGAACGTAATTTAGAAAATATGAAAACAAAAAATCAATGGTTGACATAACAAGTTATTCAACCTTCGATTTATCCTATTTATTTTATTTTTTATGTCAATTTTTCTATTTATCCTGAAAAGAATTACTTATATATAAAATGGACGAGGCAAATTCATGGTTTGAACTTGATGGATTAATCCAGAATTTAAGGTATTAGAACATAACTTATAATAAAAAATGAAGGAGTCAGATCAAATAATATTATCTCTGGATCAATAATTTTATAAATACAACAATTAATCTTTGGAATTCTACTACCAAGGGTTGTGATAGTATGGATAAGATTCATCTATCCCTAACAAAAGGTCGTAGGGATAGATGAGCTCAAACCTTGTTAGGGTTGTGATAGTATGTTAAACAAGGTGATTCTCTTTTTAATGAGATTTACACTAGTGTTAAATGTGTTAAATTATATCTTGCATTTGTTTCCGCCCCGTGCATATGAGTTGCACCCTCCCTTGACAAGAGAGATAATGTTGATCTCACAATCAATTAATTGATTGAAAGAATTTAAATTATATACACTAATAGCAAATTATACACTTCTCAAATATGTTTATTTAGATACGTACCTATTATTTAAGTAAATTAACTTTTTTTCAGGATGAAAAAGTATCAAGTCTCATCTCACATGTTTTTGGAAGACCTTTTGTGATGGATTCAAATTTGGCACCACAAATATCGACTCTTGGATCACCATCAAATTCATCTGATGGAAGTTTGTTGAACGAAGACACACGTGGCTCTCCCATTATATATCCTCCTCTTCGTCAAGAAAACAATCAAAATAGTAATAATTTTCATGCACATTCAATGATCTCTCAATCACCACAAGAACATGATGAATGTAATCATGATAGTAGGCAGCAAACAATTATGTTTGAGACTGTTGTTGCTTCTATGAATGAAATGGTTGAACTTTGGAAGATGAATGATCCTTTTTGGGTAGATTCATCAAGTGATAGGCGGTGTTTTATTCATCATGAGATTTATGGAAGAAACTTTTCAAATCAAGTTCTACCTCCCCAAACATCAACGTGTCGAATTGAATCATCAAAGGATTGTGGAATTGTGTCAATGACTGCAGTTGAGTTGATCCATAATTTTCTTGATCCAGTAAGTTTCATGAACACTTTCATGTTTTATATACATACATACATACATACATACATATATATATATATATATATATATATATATATATATATATATATATATATATGATTTGTATATTAAAGATTGGGAGCGCTAGTTGATTTTTGAAAAGTATCCATTATGTGAGAATTCGTTGGACACTTACCACTTCTCATGTGGAAACATACCATGCCAATATCATGGATTTCGAACTTGAGCAAGTGAGAGATCTAAGAAACTGTCATGATATTTTGAAATCTAACTCAATGTCATGAATTCAAAAAATTGTCTATTTCTCAATAGGCTGATACCATTTCACTTTTTAATTTGCTCCCATACAATATTGATTACGATGAGTTTATATGGAGTTATGGACATGGACAATCAGTACTTATTTTTAGACATAGTTGTCATACTTATTTTTAAGAATTAATCATATGCTTAAAAGTAATTGTTTTTTATATGTAGGTCAAATGGATGAACTTGTTTCCTACTATAGTCACAAAAGCTAAGACTATTGAAGTTGTTGATTCTGGTACTTGGGGAGGCTCTATGCAATTGGTAAAATATTAATCCATCTTTTAGATTTTTCCCCTAGAAATTAAATCAATATTGAAATTGACTCATAAAATGATCTTTTTTTTTTCTTGAATTCAGATGTATGAAAAGTTGCATATTCTATCTCCTCTAGTTGAAGCTAGAGAGTTTTTGTTCATACGTGGTTGTAGACAACTTGATGCAACAACATGGATTATGGTGGATATTTCATATGATATATTCAACGACATTCAGAGTGGTGTACCTTCTTATTCATGGAAGTTTCCATCTGGTTGTGCAATTCAAGATATGGGCAATGGCCAAAGTAAGGTAAGAATAATATCCTCTCTCTATATCAATATTTATATATTAGGAAAATTATGTGCATTTAGCTCCCTCTATACACGTGGTCCATATTACTGTGTTCAATTTTATGTAGTCTTATCATGCATTTGTTCTTGAAATTTATTTTATTTTTTATCACAAGGATGTTCATGTACTAACAAATCATTACATAGAAACACCCATAAGAACTTCTCTTCTAACCATCTAACTTCCTACTCATACATAAAACAAATCAAGAAACTAATCTATTACAAAGGAAATGTAAGGATACTTATATAGTGTTTGTAGAAAAGATTTCCATCTTGCCTTGTGTTGTCCTCTTAGATGAATATGCAGTACAATCTCTCTAAACACCTTATCAGCATATACTCTTACTCGATAGAAGCTAATCTTGTTTCTTTCTCTCTAAATGATATATTCAATCCTCACAAAAACACTAGTCTTGATTCAGTCGTGAATACTTCTTTGGTATTTCTATCCAGATGCACATTCTTTCTCATAATGTCTTTGTCACTTGGCAATCAAAACAAATAGGTTCAAAGGTTTCCTTTCTGTTACTACAGAACACATATTCAGCTGACACCTGAATACCAAACTTTACAAGTCTTTCAACAATTGCTAATGTTTTCTGCACAGCTAGCCACAAAATGAATTTGAATCTTGGATGTACTCCTCGTTGCAAAGTACTACTATTCCATTCTACTCTTGTAAAATTAGGCATGATATAGTTATTCATCTTCTTGGTAGAAAACTTCCCACCTTTTTGTGCCTTTGCAAAGTCCATCATCAACTTACTCTGCCCATCTTGCCTTGGGATTATCAAATCTCTTGTACTCAAAGTCTTTCGCACTACCAATAAAGCAGTAGTAGGTAAAGTAACAGTTTCGACCACCCTATTCTTTATGAAATAAGTATGCACCCATTGGATCCATAAAGAGTCTTTCTTTCTAGCTATATATCACATTTGTTTGAGTATTGCAGTCTTATTCTACAAGTCAAACGGGAAACATACATATCACTATTTAAATGTAGCTTATTTTTCAAATGGTATATTAAATAGGTACAAATTTACTCGTACTTATGCCTATTTCATGATGTCTATTGTTTCTAATATTATATAAGAGTCAAACTATCTTTATTCTCGATTTATCTAATTTTGGGTCGTCATATTATGTTGTTAATTTATTCTCCAAATGATCAGCTTTCGGACTTGCATGGGGGGCTTACTTAAGTGTCCCCATATTGTTTTAGAAAATAATCTTTCTCTTTGTGTATAACCTTGGAAAATCCCCCATAACCTGATAAGTTTGATTTTAGGATTGAGTTAGATTCAATAACTATCTTTTTAACATGCTATTAGAGTTGTTAGTCTTCATTTTTATGTGCAACTCCGGCCTATACACTATTGTTCATGTCACAGATGTTTGAATCAAAAGAGCGAGGATTATTCTTTCTCCTCATATGGTCCTTTTCAATTCTTGCCTATGACATCCATTGCTAAAAAAATACAAATTTCAAACACGCTTTCCTCATTATTTTCCAACTAAGTTAATTATTTTTATTCTTGTTTCTTGATTATTTTTACTTTTGCAGGTTACTTGGGTGGAACATGTTCAAGTATATGAAAAATATCATGTTAATCATATCTTTAGAGATTTGTTGTGTGATCGTGAAGCATACGGAGCTAAAAGATGGATTGTTACACTTCAAAGGATGTGTGAGAGGTTTAATTTTCAAATGGGTTCAACATACCCTAACAGGCATGATTCCAAAGGAGGTTTGATTTTATATTCCCTTTATTTATTTACTACTTTTTTGAATTTTAATTTATAAGGTGAGAAAAGAATCAATTGTAATTTTTTCATAAATTCAAGGCAGCTTTACTTAAAAATCTTGAAGGGGTTCCAGATCCATCTCTTTTCTTTGTTTATATGTTTGAAATATGACCTTTTAAATTTTTTTAATCTGTGAGGTATATATATAATACATATTTAAACCACGCTCGACCAGTGAATTTTTTTTGTTTTAATGGGCTCGGAAAATGATCACTCTTTTAATTTCGAATGTCATTTTTATTGACAATTTTCTCATTTTTTTTATTTGAAACATCTCCCTTTCAAACTTTTCGTATTTCCTTAAGGGGTGTGTTTGGTATGATTTAAGCCATGAAAAATTTGTTTATTTTTTTATGTTTATTGATTGGCCAAGAAAATAATTTATAGAGAAAATAAATTCTAATCAAAGGAACAATAAAAATGACCAGTTCTCTCATTTTCCGTGTAAAGTCATTTTTTTTACAATCATCTCAACTTTGAGTATTATATCAGTGCTTTAACGACACTCAAATATTATTATTATCTTTAACATGTAGAAATATTATCAAAATACTTTCCAATATGTTAATATTTTTTTATCACTCTTCAATAGAAGATTATTTTTTATAGAAAATATATTTAGTAATTTCAAAACAAAATATGAAAATAAAAATAGATTTCCTAAAAAAGTTATTTTCCAAAAAACAAAAAAGACACACTTATCTTGTTTCTTTATTAATATTATTATAATTACTTTTCTAATATTTTATTTATACTTTAGTATTACATGTTGTCTCCTTTATATCCTTATGTATTTGCTTTTCATAATTGAATTTGGATATACTTTACTTGAATGAGGATCTATCAAAAACAATCCCTCTACCTTCTCAAGATATGACCACCCTTTGCAGATGTCGCTTGTGGAATTATACTAGATATATATGTTATTGTAATATTTAAATTTCATTTTACTTTCAGTGTTTCATGATCCAGAAGGACTAAAAAATACGATACAAGTATCTCAAAGGATGGTTAAGAAGTTTTTTGAAATTCTAAGCATGACAGACAACCATGGAGATTTTTCGATCTCACCACAGTTAAACCGTGGAGATAGGATTTCAATAGTAAAAAATGAAGAAACTATCCAACCAAAAGGCTTTATTGCCATTGCAACTACTTCTCTATGGCTTCCTCTTTCATTCCAAGATGTCTTCAGTTTCTTCAATGATTACAAGACAAGAAATCAGGTATGTGTCGAACCTCTTTATAATAATGTTAATTGTTTAGAATTTTTTTTTTGTTTTTATAGCGAAATGTTATTATAGATAATGAAATAATATAACATAAAATTTATGTTGTTCCCGAATAAAACTTTGATTCTACATTGAATTGGCCGAGGGTATTTCAAAAATAGTCTCTCTCGTTCATGATATAAGGGTAAGATTTGTGTATATTCTACCCTCTACAGGATCCACATTGTGCGATTACAAATAATATATTGTTGTTAAAGTATATAATAGGTGAAAAATTGTTATAGGGAATGATTTTTATAAAAATGAATGATCGTATATATCTTTGCATTGATATTCAATTTTTAATGCAATGACCCAAACATCTAAGAAAAGAAGTAGTTTTTACATTTTCAATCCTTGTATATCTTGTTAACCGAATGACCCCTAAAATACACATATAGAAATTTACTTTTCAATTCATGTATAGATTTTTATGTAAAACTCTCAATTATTTCAATAAATATCATAATGTTAACATTAAAATATAATGAGTTCAGTGTTAAGGATTTTTTAAAACAATTAGTTAAAGTTTTGAATATGATTGATTTGTTAATAATATGTTCCCTGGTAACTAGAGTGTGCATAGGTCAACTCGGTTCGTTTGATATCTTATAGGTTATGTTTATTCGTTTTTAAATATGCTAAACTAAAATTAAACCAATAAGATATCTTTAATCTATTTTGGTCCTTAAAAGTTCAATTTTCAGTTTAACCAAAAAGAATGATTTTAAAATATATGACTTTTCTCCAATAATTTGATGCGATAAAATAATAATGTAATTGTACAAATACTGATAAAATAGAAACAATAATAACTAACATAAAAAAATTATACAAGTGTTACACACAGAGTAATTAAGAGGACTAAGATTCTTATTTTAGGTTTAGATGTTTTATATAATGTGAAATTATGAACTCAAAGTCACCATGAAGTGTGAATGGAAGGCTAAAAGGCAAAAATAATAAGTAGTGTATTAGGATTAATATATAAAATTTATGTATGGTAAAGTTGTACATTACTATAGTCTTGATGAGTTAATAGTTTACCCTATAACCCAATATTTAAAAAATAAATACAAAACTAGTTACCCGATATATATATATATATATATATATATATATATATATATATATCATTAAAATCCATTAAGCTAATAGAAATAAACCAATAGCACTTTTTTTATTCGATTTATCGGTCGATTTTATTTTTTCAAGCCCCTACATATTATATTATCTACATGTTTTGCTAGTCTTGGCATTGATTGTACATATATTGTTTTAAATTCGTGATCTTAAATAATACTCATCCCACAAAATAATTTTTTGTCAATTAAATTATAATATTGTTTATCATTTGATTTTTTTTAGTGGGATATTTTGACCGGTGGAAATAATGTGATTGAATTAGATCGAGTACTAACGGGGACTTTTCCAGGAAACAACATTACAGTTATTCAGGTATTTGTCATATTTATTTATTTATAATTAGCTATTTCTACCTAAATTATCATGTAATAATGACATTTTTCAAGAATCAAATAATATTACGTATGACTGGATTTATTTTTTTTCTCATGCAAAAATACCAAAATTTCTAAACTTGTATCTTTTTTTCCTTTTGACTTCTTGTTCTATAATTATTGAATCAAAATGAATTTTCTACGATCCAATTTTACTTTTGACTTGTAGTCAATTAACAATTACAACACACAAAAAAAAAGACTAACAATCTCATGATTAATTTATATACACTGATCATAGCTTAGCCATTTATAGCAAATTGTTGTTTGTCTCATTTCTATATTTATAATTTCACTTGGCTTTTTGGGTGATCCAATAATTATCTTTAACTATCTTTTAGGTAAACTGATAATGCTAAATATATTTCACTATGAATAAGAACAAGACTTAGCTATGAAATTCCTCGTAAATCTGTTGTTAAATGACCTATAGCCATATAGGTAACAAAATTACTTATAATCCTTTTATAATTCATTATTAAGTAGGATTTGCTGTGAATTTTTTATTGTTTAGAAACATAACTTATCGTCACTTATTCTTTTATAGTATTGACCCTAATATTTCTTAATTATTGTAATGCATAAACAGCCTTATAATATGCATAAGGAAATGTTAGTGCTTGAAGAGACGAGTATTGATGAAATGGGAGCATTTTTAGTCTATGCACCCATAGATTTACGAGCAATCAATTCAATTGTCAATGGAGGTGATGCAACGAAAGTTCCCTTTTTGCCCTCTGGTATCATCATAAGTCCCGATGGTCGTCTCTCCTCGAATAGAGACAGCACTCCAAATGCACAAAATGGTTCAATTTTGACAGTGACATTTCAAATAATGATTTGTGGTAATAATAATCCAACCTCCAGGCAGCAAAAAATGGAGGTAGTGGGTTCGGTTCATGGTGTTTTGAGCGCCACAATATTAAGAATCAAAGAAGCATTGGGTTGCTCTGATTTGTGATTGTTTAAGTTCATTTTGTTTGTTTGTTTTGAAGATTTCAAAACTAAGACAATTGATGGTTTTGAAGGATGATGTGTTCCCTCTTTTGTGACTTTTAAAATCTCAAGACTGTGAGATATGTTTTGCTGCAATCATATTTTATATTAATACACTTATTTGAGACTTCTTATTTGTTTGATTTTCTCTAATAATTGTTTTTGTTCTTTGTCATGTTACAATGTCATGCCTTCCTGATTTTTAAGTGTGGGAGTAGTATATATATGTTGTATCCATATGCGGATGGAATTATATGTTGTGAACACGGATAGCCCAGCCGCTAGCCAAGTTGTTGGGCTTAGGGATAAACCACGAAAAGGCTAAAAAATTAAACTTCAAACAATATATTTACTTGAGATCTAGGTTGAGTTTTTGTCCTGAGTACCAATCTGTACTTGTTTGCTTACTTTCTTCGTGGCAACACCTCAAATGACAACCTCTAGTTATAGGTGGTGATGGAAGGATCGGATCGGAAGGAACATACTTGTAGCCGCATTGACATACTTCACACAATCCTGTGTCTCCTCAATTTTTCTTATGTACCAACTCGTTTTGCCTCAATGATCTATAGGTTGTTGTTCCTCTATGTTTGAGTATAGTAGGCACACTAGTATTATTCTCTACTTGTGTCCTTAGAATGAAAAAGGCAACAAGAAAATCAGCTACTTTGTTTCCCTCTCTGTAGCGGTGAGTGATTTGGATTCCAACCCTCTTCTTGTAGTTAATGATGTGTCAACAATCTGCTTCAGATTCAAGTAGAATGTGTGTTCCTTTGTCACCATGTTAGTTGTGCATTGAGTCATGTCCTAAGTATGTCCATTGAAAAAACACTGTTTTACTCCAAACTAAGCTGCAATAGCTTCAACACCATTTTCGTTATGAATCAAGTCCAGCCCAATATAGATACTAATGCCATACAAGTCGCTATTGATCTGACAAGAGTTATTGGGCTGAGAACGAGCAATAGGATCAGGTTAATTTGGAATCTGGGCTAAGTAATAGTAAAGAAACGGTTCCATAAAAAAAGATAGTGACATGTGATTTTGAGATTACGCAAATTTTTGAGAAACATGTTTAGTCCTCTCATCCCCTTTCTATGAGTTCTGTTTCTCATCACTTTCTTCTACTTGTGTTCTTCAATTTCCATTTTTTTCTTAAATTTCTTTGTAATTCCAATTACAAGTTAGTGAAATATATTTGTCGGTTGTTTCAAAACAAACACAATTCAAATTCAAACGACATACAATGAAGTGTCAAAAATTGGATATTATCATATATACCTAGTCCACTCAAAAAATAAAGGCTTGTTGTTCGATACAATAACAAGGATGAGTCCATAATGGGATAAAACTTTAAAGTCACAAACAAACCAGGGAACCATTCCTAAGAAATTATAATTCTTTTACATGGGCATAGTGATGTAATTTCATTGCTTTAGAGATGTATTCCTAACCCCTGCTTCATTAGACAAAGACATAATTAGTGTCACACTCCGAGTCTACACCTTGGGCGGGACTGGCACTCGAGAACTATTGCTGGCCCCAAGCGAACCCTTGGTCTGACTTACTTACTCAGCTAAAGACTTAAACTCAACAAATATAAGTTCATGTAATAACTTAAAAAAAATATCTTAGCCAAAATGGTAATTCAAGTCTTAAACTCTACAACTGAAATTAATAAGACTAAACAACTAATATTATCTTTCTATGAAGCCTCTAAAAATAACTGAGATGGATGTTGGGACAAGCCCCACAACATCCTAGTGAAATTAAAACTAATACTGAAAGCAATGAAATGGATCCTGCAGAATACAAGGAGGCTCACCAACTAACTCTAAATAACTTATTGGATGTCGATCCTAGCTACCTGTATCTGCATCATAATACAATGCACTAAAAGTGGAATCAGTACATTGAATGTACGAGTATGCGAGTTGGAATGCTAACATATAAACATAGGCTTGAATGGAAATTTGAACAACTTACTTGGGTCAAATCAACTCTACAAGACTGAACTCATTATAGAGGAATTTAAAACAAGTGCAATATCAAGAAAAGTTAGTTAAAACATGATATTAACTCTATATGTATGCAAAGATACAATATAACTCTGAGATGTATGTGTGTATATAAAATACAATTAATTTCTGTAGCAGTTTCTCTAATCGACAACCATCACATAAGAGCTATTGTGATGATACATCATTTTGCCTCATGCTTCCACGTCCTTTTTATACCTTGCCATTAGTATAGAACCTAACTACTAAGTATATCCACTCGTGTATGCTAAAAAGCACTAAAGGAATCATCTTAAAAGTATTGACCCTTTTCTATCCATGGTGGTTAGATGGTTTATGGGGGATGTGAGTTGTCTGAACTCTTCCTCATATCGGTGCTCAATACTACTCCAAAAAATATATAATATTAGCTTTTATGTTTAGAAACATACTTCCTTCTATGATTTGAGATTATTTCTCAAAAAATTAGCTCAAAGGCTACGTTGGAAATAATTGTTTCCTCTCTTTCTTCATTTATAAAGAGATTACTCTTCTATGGAAAACTAGCCCAAAGGCTCTTTGGAAATCTCAGTTTCCATTCTTATTAAAATGTGAACATTTTTAATCCTTCTGGAATATTTAGTCCCCATATACTTTTGAAGAAATGAACTTCAAATCTGAACTCTTTACTTAACTTATCGTGAACTTTAAGTGTTAAAACAAAGTTGAAACATTTGTAAAAGAACTTTGAAATCTTGGATAAACTTTTCTTGACTTGACTCTTGACTTTACTTTACTTTGAATTGACCCTCCGTTATCCTTGATTTGAATTATGAATTCAACGATTATGATTTGTGATAGGAAATGCCTCATGATGTTTAGAAAAAGATCAACCTACCCTTCTAAAATCCAGATTGGCCAATTCTTTAACCAAACATGCCAACTTACAAAGGGTATAACTTACTCATACGAACCATATCTTGAAATACACCTAACTCATCCCGAGATAGGAGTTATGACCGGCTGAAGTTGACCAAAAACTCATTTTTTCTAACTCAAGTAAATATCCATTTAATTATTTCCAAAAATGCCTATTTCTGGTTCTAAGCTTCTTCCTAACGATTTCTAAAATTGTGAGATGTTACAACTAGATAATTAATAATGTGATAAGAGCGAGATAGAGAGAGGACTAACCTCATACTCATATATTTCCTAGATGGAATCGATAGAGCAGGGGCACTAAAGAAGCCTTCATCAAATGGAATCTGCAGAGAAGTACAATTAATCGTGTCGATCTTCTAAATTGAAGGAAGGTTGTCAACACTGTAATGACCATTTTTTGGCAGTCTCTAAGTTCAAGAATTTCAAGGTACTCTAAATTCAATATTGACGACAGTTTTTGATGATTCTTAAAATCATTCAAACACAAGGAAATCAAAAATGGTAACTTCAAAAAACCAAATGGTAGATAGAGAAAATTGTTGCCGCTCAAATCTAGAGTAATTAAGTAAGATAAACTCCCAGTATCTCTATATATATAATCTTGTGGAACGTTCATCGAAAGGATTCTAAATTTGGTCTTCTTAACATTTCAACAGACAATTGTTTTATACTGGTATCACATGCAAGAAGATGCCTTAGACTCTGCGTATCTCCAATGTCATCTACCAGTGTTTGTAAAGATTAATGATAACTAATGTCCAAGTATTCAAGGGATTTTATCTGGCATGTGCTGATCAGAAGACCCATAATCTTTTTGCAACAATACAAAGATAGACTATTTAGTCTATCCAATTTTCCTGTTGATGGATAGATCTTCTTCAAACTTGAGCAATTCTGAAGCACCAAAGTCTCGAGATTTCGTGAACTGTGAAGTTTATAATATTTTTGAAGAGTTTGCAATCCAACTTCTTGACAATTCTACAATACTAAAAGTAAACAAAATCACTTCGAGTAAGATTTTCTTTCACTTAGTTGCAATAAAGAAAAACACGTGAAATTGCAGAATCGAGTAATGAACCTACAAATTAAAACCAAATTCTTTGATATTACTCTCATTTATATTCAGAAAAAAATACAAGTTTCTCAGCTGAAAATTTTGATAGTATAAATTTTAACGGATGTTGTTTCCAAGAGAATCATCTGAGCTCCCTGGACAATAGCTAAAAATCTCCACTCATATGAAACTTGCGGTCTATTGCAACTACCCTAAAATGCACTGGTGCTCAAGTTCACACCCTTTAATGTTGTCATTCTACCACCACTACTTCCACATTTTTGGAATCCTGAATTTTAGTAAGACGAAAAAGTACCATAAGACCATTTTAACTACAAAAATTAAGAGAGAAAAAATTGTTACACAAATTGAAGGACAATGAGTACGTTACCTGCTTTGAACTTAATAGGAAATATGTATCATCAAACACGATTTAGATAATTGGTAAATGAGAGACTGTTTGTTTTTGATAATTTTGCATTTGAGAGTTTTTAGACTTAAGTAAATGCTCATTTCAAGTATACAATAACTGGCAAAAAACAATTGATAATTTACTAACCAAAATAAAGATAAAGATAAAGATAAAGAATGAATTCTTGTGACGACAATAGAAATCATTAAAAAAAATTGTCATATTAAATTTAAACAAGTATAACCAAGATAAAGATAAAAGATTTTACTGACTTTACTTCTATTACAATCTACCTCATGAGTTGTTAATTGATGTTGGGTTGACATGATGACATGGTTGCTGATGTATTTTTTGTTTTTAATGGATATACATTCCTGTTTTAGTTTTTCAGCTTTGAGTTTCCTAGTCTTTAGGCATGTAGAGTTGTTGGTAGACTTAGTGCCTACTTATTAGGAAGATTTTGTTTTTGTAGTTACTGCATTATTTACTACATATTGTTAGGAGTTCCTTCTATTTAAACATTTCTTCTTTCAAATTAATGTAACATCTCTCTTTTTCTTCTTCTATCGTATGTTTTTTTCTTTAGTTGTTAACACCAAAAAATTGATATCAGAGCCCTCTTATTAAGGGACTTGTGAGTGTAGTATGAGGGGACCATCAATGAAGTCCCTACCTGTTTCCTTGAAAAGCCATCAGAAACATGAATTCAAAAAACTCTTC